TAAAAGGCAGTGCACTTGGAGAAGAATGGTACAGACAGGGCAGTGACAGATGCAGGAGGCAAACTATGGCTCATAGGCACGGCAAGAAATTTGCTTTTATTCTAAGAGGAACAGAAAGCTATTGAAGGGTCCAATTTGTATTTAACGACAATGATTTGGGCTCCTGTCTGGTGACTGGAGTGTGTGTGTATATGCACATGTGAGCTGCAGGGAACCTGCGAGGAGTGGAAGCAGGGGGATCAGGTGGGAGGTTCCTTATCTGCAATGAAATCCAGGCAAGAAATGACAATGGCCCAAACCACTCAACATTCATGAGGATAGAGTACAGTGGACAATGCAAGATATATCTGGAGATAGACTTGATGCTAAGAATGGAGGAGAAAGGGGTGAGGGTAGGGAAGGGAGAAGTACAGGTGTCTGAAGTTAGGTGCCATCCAATGAAGCAGGGCCTAGTTCTATTCTGAACATGAGGCTGGTGGTGGCCTGTGAGACAGCGACCTGAGGAGGTCCAGTGGACAGGTGGATAGAGGTGTCTGGAGCCCCGGGTAAAGATCTTGGCTAGAGAAACAAATTTGAGAGTCAATATTCCACACAGTTTGTGACGGACAACCTAGGCACACATTTGGTAACTAATAAATGCTTATGATGTGACTGACTGATAGTTGACAGAAAAAGCAGCAAGAATTCTGCATATGGGAAGATGTTTTGCATCTGTTGGCATGGAGTGTTGAGGAAATGCCAGCAGAGCACCAGGTGCTGCGGCTGCTCAATAAATACTAATTTGCAGTGGTAAAGCTTCAAGAAAGCAATGAACTGTTATTTCAGGACCTGACCCTGCCTGGCTTAATTGGCGCCAGAGCTGTTGTTCAGCTGCTTGGACCTTCTGTTCTTCATCCTCAGTATCTTTTTTCCTGGTGGCTTAATTCCTGACCTGGGCATCTTGCTTTCTTCTTGATCACTGCCTCTTACCCTTACATTCAGAGAACACTGTCATCACTTTGACTCTGTCCCTAATGACTAGCTCAGAGCCTGTTCTTCACAGGTTTCTGACTCTGCCATGAATCATGAACAATACTGAGTACCCATTATGCAGCACGCACCATATTGGACACTTGACCCACATATGCCATTTATAGCAACCCTGCAAAGTAGGTGCTTATCCTTGGGTTAGGCCTTAATCTCCCTGAGAGAGTAAGTGGTTGGCTCTGTGTCAGGTAGCTAGAAAGTGGTGGAGCAAGAAGTCAAAACAGGGCCGGGCGCGGTGGCTCACGCCTGTAATCCCAGCACTTTGGGAGGCCGAGGCGGGCGGATAACAAGGTCAGGAGATCGAGACCATGGTGAAACCCCGTCTCTACTAAAAAATAGAAAAAAATTAGCTGGGCGCAGTGGCGGGCGCCTGTAGTCCCAGCTACTTGGGAGGCTGAGGCAGGAGAATGGCGTGAACCCGGGAGGCGGAGCTTGCAGTGAGCCGAGACTGCGCCACTGCACTCCAGCCTGGGCGACAGAGCGAGACTCTGTCTCAAAAAAAAAAATAAATAAATAAATAAATAAATAAAAAATAAAAAAAATAAAAAAAATAAAAATCTGGGAAGCCCCTGGCCTACTAATTAAAAGCGACTACTGGGACCAGATACTCTATATGCTTTCAACTTCTCTCTCCAAAGTACCATTGTTGATGGATGAAGCAATTGACACTGAGAGATTAAGGAACTTGTCCAAAGTTGTCAAGCTAGTAAGTGGCAGAATTGCCGTTCCAACTCTGTCTGTCTGTTCCTTTTCTGTTTTAACATCAATCTTTGGAATCGTTTTAATTCAACAAACATTCATTGAGATTCTACTACTTTTTAAGCACTTAGTGGGTTCTGGGGTTGTAAACTCACAAAATCTATTAGGAGAGCCAAGCATGTCAATAAATATTTACACAAAATGATCTGGAATGCTATGCTCTGAAGAGACGGAGGAGAGTAGTTTGTTTTCTTTGGTGGGGTTAGAGCAAAAAAAGTCAAAGCAGTCCAAGCTGACTCTGCAGCTGAGCTCCCTGCTCCTGGATTCGATAAGTATGTGGATTTTGCCTGCTGAATCAGTCTGTAGATAAGTATGTGGATTTTGCCTGCTGAATCAGTCTGTACCCTTGACCCACCCAGCTCCCTAGCAAATTCTACTAGGTAGTTGGTATCTGTTGATAACCACCATGTATCAAGGCAGACTGGCCTATGTCTATACCCTAGAGGGACAGTGTTCCACATCTCTATAATTGCACACTTTGCTTGGTGCTCTAATGTGGGTATTTATCATGTGGAACTGGCAGGTCCTAACCTGGGAGAGGCCCATAGCCCAGGAAGGTATGAGTCATCAGAGAAACAACAGAGATTGAGTATACTGGAGCTACCACGCTAGGGACCAGGGAAGAGTAGCTGGGAGGAGATGGATTGAAGACCAAGAAAAAGGGCCCAGAGCTGTGTAGAAGAGGAAGATGTGGGCTCTTAGCTAAGGGATGAGATGTAACAGGAAAATGTACATAGAAAAAATAACTCATTGTTTTAAACAGCCTTTACTGTTTTATGTAAATGTGTAAATAAAGCTTCAATCTCCCTGGCCACAAACTCACACAGAAAGGCTTTCTGTCTTCATTAGGCATGTCTCCCAAGCATGGAGGTGTGTTACAAGACAACAAGACGTATGACTAAACACCATCTGTAGTAGGGGAAACTGTTTCACCAACATGCAAGAGAAAGTGGTGCCTTCACTTGCAGGAGGCCAGCTGCTGGGAGGCTTGGGAATTTGGGCAGTAATTATCTGCAGATAACATCAAACTGGAGGACAAACTAGAGAACAAAGGGAACTGAAGCTAGTCCTGCAGACGCTCATCTGAGCAGCACCTGTTCTTCAGGCAAACTTGACCTGTTACTATCTGACACCTGCCTGGCTGGATGGGCCCCATGCTGCCTGCTGAGGCAAGGGAGCTGATGAATCTCCATTTCACGTTAGGTTTCGTGGCAGAAACGGGATATGGAATTCTAGAGGAAAGCAAGCATTGACCAGACATCCCTCACTAAGATATCAAATTGGTAAGGTCAAAAGGTGAAGAGCATGGTTTAACAGGCAGACAAGAGGGGAAAGAAGAGACATGGGCACCATATCCTTTAGTCACAGCAGATGGTGATGGCACTGCAACAGCAAACAGATACGCAGTGGACCCTCAGCCCGCTGGATGGCAGAAGAGTTTCAGCGGAACTCTAGGAAGAGTCTGTACAAGGATAATCTGAATCGCCTACCTCCACTGCTAACACTCCACCTGCCTTAAGGGACAACTGACATGGTTCCAAGGATTTTGAGAAACCGAGAGATGTCCTCTCTCTCTCTCTCTCTCTCTCTCTCTCTCTCTCTCTCTGTCTCTGTCTCTTTCACACACACACACACTATACAGAGACAAAATCTTAAATATATATTTAATTACACCATACTTTTGTTGTCTTTTATTATAATATTCAAAATGCCAATAGCCAAGTCCTTTGCTATATTCCCCACAACAAGACCAGAGCTCAAATAGAGTAGGCTCTCCATATATATTTACAGAATAAACAGATAAATGAATGACTATTTGCTATCTGTTTGCATTTCAAGTTCTGGTGCCTGACCTTCCCTAGTGTCTTTTTATTAATGCCCCTAGATAGAGTCTTTAGTTGTATTCTAATTTTACAAATATTTTTTTCATTGAGACATTTAAATTCCTCTACTTCCTTACACAAGGCAATAATTTTTCTGATGGAGAAACACTCAATAAAAAGCAGGAGTGAAGGAAACTTTAGCAACTTGTGTCTTAATTTGCACTGAGAACACTCTTATTTAGTGCATCTCATTCAAAAATTTGTATTTATCCTATTTTTCTCTCATTTGAAAAAATATTGAATATTATTGGATTTGGTTATTGAATAACAAATATTATTGAATATATTATTTGAATATATTGACCCCAGAGTTAATGACAGGACAAGATCAGAGTACGAAATAAATGGAACTCATCCTGGATTTTTCCTTAAGCAACAGATATTTCTTCCTCTCCAGTCATATGCCTGGGATGACAAAGTCTACTGTGTCCTAAAATTGAGATGACCTGATGAATTTCATTGCCCTTCAACAGATGTAAAATTTTATGTAGAAAAATGTATTAAATCATGATAACTTGGCTCTGAGTATGGGTTTGCATGGACATAAGTCTTTGAAACAGGTTCAAAACCTGATCCAAAAAGTACTAATGTTCAAGAGTGAATCTCAAGAGTGTTGGAATTGAAGCCTTTCCCTCTTGATAAGGCATGCATGGCACTTTAAAAGCTATCCGCAGCTCTATATCTAATCCCAGCGATGACAAAAATAAGCAAGGACCCATGGGCCTTTGATTTGAAGGATATTAAGTATGCTATTAAAGAAACTGATCAGAATAAAAACAGAAAATAGAGCCTTAGTCCTGCCTTTCAGATCTTGCTGGCATCCCACACTCAGAGAACTGATTCGTGGATTAAGGAAAGTTAGAATTAAAACCTCATCACTGTTTTGTCAGCCTTTATTATTTTAAAATATCATGTAAATATGACCAAGCATAAAGATTTACTAAATATGGGCACTGAAAATACCCAGAAGTTTCTTATTCCCTGTACTTTCTCTACTGTAAGCATTTCATAATAAAAAATGCTAAAAGAATCAAAAGGCTATTAACAAAGAAAACATCCAGAATACACATTTTTTGGTGTTTACAAAGGTTGTTTAATTTGTCTCGGTAATGGTTAAAAATAGGAGACATCTGAATCCAAGTTGGTTTGTTAGTATTTTTTAAATAATGTCTGATGTCAAAATATAGATGATGAAGATGTTAAATTTTTCGACACTCTAACAAACGTTAATAGAAATCAACTCCCAGGAAACCTGAAATCCCTCCACTCTCTATGCAGTGCTGACAATTCATCATATTTAACAAGGTGTATTGGAAATAGCTGAGTACTGACCTCCCGAGGACAAATGATTCTCTTGGGACGAGGTGCCTCTTGCTGTAACTGATATACTGCCAAAAAAAAAAAAAAAAAAAAGACAGAGAGAGAGAAATAATTAGAATTACAATACTGCAACACATATCAACATGCCTTCAAATATTTCCACCTAAGTACACCTCAAGAATTGCAAATATAAAAAAACAAGATAATACAGGCACATTTTTTAGACTGGATAAAGTCAGATCATTTATATGGAAATTAGTCATTGTGAATATAAACTTGCAAAATTGATTTTTTTATTCTTATAAGGCCAATTTAGTTTCATAATTGTTACTGGCATTGTTCATTTTATGGCTTTCTTGGAAGACCAAATATGGCCAAAATTATTTTGACTATTTTAAAGATGAAATTCTACTTGTGAGTAACTGAGTAGTAAGATCATATAATAGGATTCCTGAATTTAAATGCCGATGTCTCTAGACATACCAGGAAAAGAACTGGCATTTTAAGAGGAGTGTGATTCTCTGAGATGTTAGTTATGTACAAAGATATAACTGATTCTGAGTGAGTGAAACACCAAGCCATTTCTCGCTCTTTTCTCCCTCCATTTTTGCCCTGTCTATCACACTGTGAATTCTCATCCATTTGATGACTTTCCATCCACTGTCATTCCTCTTTCCTGGGTGCTTTCTCATCTTAAATAATAATAACTCCTTCCTAACCTCATTTAAAGACAGACTTTCAGTCTTAAGCATGGAGGAAAGCAGGTCATTGTATATAAAGCAATTTATCAGACAATTATTGGTGATTTTTCAGAATATAATGAGTGATTTTTCTGCTGCTCAGCTAGTCTGCTTATTTCTGCTAAAGGGAAAAGCTATCCTAAGCAGGTACCTTTGGATTCTACTTCCGTGAAAATACAGGTTGAAAAACAAAAAAAAAAGTTGATGTTATCTTCAGAATCCTGAAGAGGAAAGAATTAATTTTAAATGGAATAAATCTACAAAAAGTTTAAAAAAACCAGATCTGACAAAGTCTTCCTAGAAAATGTAATAAGATAAGCAAAACTTTCTGATCTATTTTTTGGTCTAAAAATAAAAAAATGTAATTGAAGGGCAGGTGATCATATGGAAACACAGATAAAAATGATGGAATATATTTTGTATTTATGGCTCCCCATTGTCTTTGGCTGAACGTGGTTATTTTCTTACCTAATTAGTGCAAACCACCTGGTTTTAGCACAGAGAAGGAGCTATCTAACCCTCTATACATTTTGAAATGTACCACATTTCTAGGTGTAGGTCACCCATACTAATGTGTCACCTAAGGATGACTGTAGTCATCTGTGAAAGGAAAACAGAGTTCAACATAACCCTTTAGCTCAGGACACCAAAAATGACAGACAGATAAAAAGAAGGCTTCTACACACCTGCCTCCCTATAGAGAAAGAGCTTTCAGATCCCAATGGACCAATACATGGAAAGTGGGACTAGGTGGAGGAAAGATGAACGGCCTTGCACGTGAGATCGTCGACCAATTGACACATACTGTTCACCTTGTGCTATCTCTTTCCATTGGCTTCCATGGCACCACCCTCCTGGTCTTCCTCCTTTGATCCTGGCTGCCTCTTTCCTATGCATGTTGCTGCTCCTCCTCCTCCTCTACCTGTCCACTGACCATAGGAGAGACCCAAGGCTTACCTTAGACCCTCTTCAGGTCTCATTCTCTTTCTTCTCCCTAGGGAATCTCCTCCAACTCTAACACTTCATTTATCTCCTACACACAAAGGCTCCCATATTTCAGCTCAGAACCCTCCTCTAAGCTCCAGGATGTATACCTTACTTCCTACAGATTCCTCCTGACTTTCTCAAAAGAAAACGGACCTCAACTTCAATATGTCAAAAGTTGAACTCAAGATCTTTTCCTCTAAATCTAGGCTTCTGGGAATTCTGATATCAGTGAAGGAGCCATTATTCATCCTATTTCTCTAGCCGCCAGCATCCTAGAAGTTGTTCATCACACCTCAGATGGTCAGTTCATCAACAGACCCGTCACGTTTGCTTTGAAACATCTCCAAAGTCTGTCAACTCCTCTTCATCACTATCATTAACACCCTACTCCAAGCTCTGGACTCTTCCCATCCTGCAGCCTGTTTTTTCCCTGGTGGCTAGAATGACTGTTTTAAAACAAGACCATGTCACTCCCCTTACATGCCCTCACATTGCTCTCAGAGGAAGATCAAATGCCCCACATGCTTTTGCCTGTCTCCTTCTACAGTATTACCATGTGTCATGCTCTCTGCTCAGCCAAGTTTGTTTCCTCCCCTTTCCCTAAATACGCAGTGCTCCCTTCAACCACAGGGCCTTTGCATATGCTATTCCTTCTGTCTATGACATCTTCCTCTACTCCTTCTCTACCTCTTGTCATCTGCCCCTTATCATCATGTCCTTAGTTCAAATATCAATTTCATAGAGGAGTCCTTCTTGACATCACTCACACCAGATCCAAAGACATCACCCTAGTCTATGCTCTTACAATCCCCTGTACTTTCCTTTATATAACTTATCAACAATTATAGTTTTGTATTTATTGGTGTGAGTTCCAAAAACAATGATCTCTCCCTGCATGTTGTAAGTCCCGCCATGAAGCAAGGCATCATGTTTGTTTTTGCTTGTCTTGTATCCTCAGGTTTTGTCGAGGTGCTATGGATATAAATACAAATAAAACCACAGCCTCTATTTTCAAGAACCCTATCAGCTTTAGTGAGAGGCCCAAATGTTTTTATGAAATAGTATAGTAAGTACAGGGCTGGCAAGGATCATCTTTTCAAGGCTTGGTTTACCAATCTTTGTTAGAAGGAAATAGTTAAATTAACTATGGTACGTCTTCTGATGGATACCATGCCCCTGTAATAAGGACTGAGGAAGCTCTCTACGCACTGACCTGGATCGATACTCTTGATATTCTGTTAAGCAAAAAGAGCAAGGTAAAATACACACACACACACACACACACACACACACACACAAAACCATAAATACACAGAGTACACATTCATTTTAAGAAACGGAGTAAAATAATAATGTATATTTAGTTTTGTTTACAGCTGTATAAAGAAACTCTGGAAGGAACAAGAAAGAAAGAAAAGCATTTACCTTCAGGGGATAAAAAGAAAGACAAGGACAGGAGTGGGACAAAGATTCCTCAATGTATACTTTATGTTGTTTTGAGTTTTGAATCATATGTATTGCTTATTCAAAAGAAAAAGCTATAAGAGATAAGGTCAGAGAAGGCTTCTTTTAATACATGCGGAAGAGTTGGTCAATCAAAGACAGAGAAACAGTTGTGGACATTCCTCTGGCTACCCCAGTATAGCTCATGCCCTCCTTAATCACCAGGGAGGCTACACGGAATTCCTTTATTCCTCTGGAATCACTCCCAAAACTACGAAGCTGCTTTTTAGCAGGATGTTACTGTTAATGAGCATGCAATGGCCATCTCCTAAAATCGCAGAGGAACTGCAGAATTCACATTCAGAGAATCCTATCCACTCTTCTCTTCCCATTGTCAATGCTTCTTGAAGCCAACAGTGATATATGACTGAAATGGCTTTGTGAATACCATTTTTAATGGGGGTGGCAAAGGAAACATACCTGTTATAAAAGAGAAGCATTTTTAGCTAAGTGCTCCTTTGCAATTCTTACAAGCAAATATGTGAGCATCTGCTATATGCCAGATACCACAGTTAGCATTATGTGGAGGCTTTCAGAATGAATGGAGAGTCTGGGAGAAGAGAAGGGCACCAGCATACCAAGTGCCTGCCATGTGTCAGGAATAACATGTATTAAATCTTCTTAAGAAACCAGAAAAAATAACTTTGTGTCATTATCATTCTGGATAGGGGATGAGGAACAGTGCAGAGAAGTTAAATATTTGCTCCAGGGCAGGGCATAGAGCTAAAATACAAGCTTTTGATTCCAAAGCCCCTGGTTTGACTGTTAGTCTATTTTTTTTTAAGAGATGGGGTCTCACTATGTTGCCCAGGCTGGAATCAAACTCTTGGGTTCAAACAATCCTCCTGTCTCCACCTCCCAAGTAGCTGCGAATACAGATGGGTGCCATCAACCCTGCTTCCCTGGTTTATATCTCCCATGCCTCAGGGCTTTTGCAGTTACTGTTCCTTCCATCTGGATTACTCACTCCCAAGATATACACACGGCTCACTCTCTCCCTTCATTCAAATATCTGCTTAAATCTCACCTTATCAGGGAGGTCTTTCCTGACTTGTCTGTATAAAATTCCACCCTATCCCTCTGTTCCCTTATATAGTTTTAAGTTTCTTCACAGCACTCATCATCATTAACACAATTAATAAACAAGACATAAATATTGTGTTTATTTATTTTGTGTACCATCTCCCTTGACTAAAATGTAAGCCCTTTGAGGACAGGGACGTTGTTCTGTGCACCGCAGAATCCCCAGCATCTAGAACAGTGCTTGGCACATAGTAGATGGTGGTGGTGGTGGTGTTGCTGTTGTTGTTTGAGATGGAGGCTCGCTCTGTTGCCCAGGCTAGAGTGCAGTGGCACAATCTCAGCTCACTGCAACCTCCACTTCCTGGGTTCAAGCGATTCTCCTGCCTCAGCCTCCCAAGTAGGTGGGACTATAGGCATGCATCACCATGCCTGGCTAATTTTTGTGTTTTTGTAGAGACGGGGTTTCACCATATTGGTCAGGCTGGTCTCGAACTCCTGACCTCAAGTGATCCACCCGCCCCGACCTCCCAAAGCACTGGGATTACAGGCGTGAGCCAGCATGCTCAGCCTTGTAGTACATGTTTAATGCATATGTATCCCTTTATTCCTCTTTAATCAGCCCAATACTACTAAGCTGCTTTTTAGCAGAATGTTACTGACAGTGTGTGTAGCAGGAGTCAAAGGGGCCATCTCCTAGAACCACAGAGTTCTAGATCTAAGAAGGACTATAGAATTCACAGTGAGAGAATCCTATTCACTCTTCTCTTCTCATTATTAATGCCTCTGAAACCAACAGTGATATGGGGAACACCATG